TATATATATATATATATATATATATATATATATATATATATATATATATATATATATATAAAACGTTGGATTACAATAGAGTCTTGGTCCGTTTTGGTATGGTCCGAAATGGTCATTCCAAACACAATGGAATACACGATATTATTTAAAAAAGATAGTTATTTTTGTTAAATATAAACTAAAATATGGTTAGATTACTTGATTTATTATTATATATCTTTGTTGTAGGATTTTTTGGATGTACGATTAGTTGGTGAAGACATTCACAAGTGTAGTTTGACATTCACTTTTTTAACTACCACACACGTTATAATTTGCCCAAAGTAGATGAGAATTTGGTTCTAATATGAACATGAATTACAATATGTTTTCATTTTAAATAAAAAATATATTACCTAAAATAAAATATATTGTTGCTTATTATTAAACCATATCTAGAGAGGAAACAATTAAAAAAGGAAGAAGTAAAAGATGTGTAATAGAAGATTTATTGCTCCATGATCTGCGGTGATGGAGGGAGAAATTGTGTTTGGATTAGTCTACTAGTCAAACATCGGTCGGAATGAAATTGAAATTCACCCCAAATTCACATTCAAATTCCCTATCAAAAACCCTTATTAAATTCACGCGTAAATCACTACCATCTACAAGTAGTAGCAGTCATGAAATCCGTGTACAAGTCATCGTCATCGATATATACAACATACAACAATTATTAACTTTGGTGTGAGAAATTTCTGGACTTTCTAGAGAGAGAAAACCCCAACTCCGTCGTCACCATTCGCCGGACATTACAACAACCTCTTCTCACCGAAATTTGTCGGTAAACTCTTTGTTTCTTTTTGAATTATGTTAGGTTTTGGTTTTCTTGGATTAGGGTTTGAACTTGGTCGGTGATGTTTCGAATTGGGTCCTTCATTTCATTTTTGTTGTGTGTACTAGGTTTTTGTTTCTACTGTTTCGCCATTTCTGAGGGATTGGGCTGAAAAGTGTGTCTAGGGTTTTTAAATTGTTCTGATCGATTGAGTAGTGGTGGGGTTTTTGGGTGAGAATCCGGGAAATTGTAAAGAAATGGGGGATACTGAGGAAGGAAACAGTGATATGATCCAAAGAGTACAATCTTCCTTCGGAACTTCGTCATCATCGGTTCCTAAACAACAACCACAAAAGCCTGTCAATTTCAATCAGCTTGATATACCGCAGTTGAACACAGCACAGTTTCGTGGTCAAACTCGACAGTTTTCCCCAAATTATAACCTTGATAACAGCAATAAAAGAGTCGGAATCCCGCCGTCTCACCCGCAGTTTCCTCCGGTCTCACCTTACTCACAGATTCCGGTGACTCAGAGCTCCGGGAATACTCATAAAATCGGGGGTTCACAGAGTTTCAATCATAGCAATCACAGCCCAGGGCCATCGCATTCACGATCATTATCACAACCTTCTTTCTTCCCCCTCGATTCTCTTCCTCCTCTGAGTCCATCCCCATATCGCGATTCCCCTTCAGCACGTTCATCCGATCAGGTCATAACCGATGTTTCCATGGAAGATCGTGACGCAAATGCACACTCTTTATTACCTCCTTCTTCACCTTTCGCAAGGAGCAATTCCGGTAATTCTACTCGAACAGAGAATCTTCCACCACGGAAAGCACACAGACGTTCCAACAGTGATATCCCATTTGGATTCTCAACAATCTTACAATCCTCGCCACCATTGGTTCCGTTAAGAACTCCCAACACTTTAGACAGGGTTACATCTTCAAACAATCAAGCGTCAAAGCCAATCCAGTTAGTGAAACGCGAATCAAGTTGGGAAAAAAGTGGAGGCGAGGGTAATGCAGAAGGAATGGGAGAAAGAAAATCCGAAGGGGAAGTTGTTGATGATTTGTTTTCTGCTTATATGAATCTTGAAAATCTTGACACATTAAACTCTTCGGGAACTGATGATAAACAAGGAACTGAGAATCGTGAAGATTTAGATAGTCGAGCTAGTGGAACAAAAACAAATGGAGGTGATAGCAGTGATAATGAAGCTACTAGTAGTGTTAATGATAAAGGGATTAAAAGGAGTGCAGGTGGAGACATTGCTCCAACAACAAGGCATTATAGAAGTGTGTCAATGGATAGTTTTATGGGGAGGATGAACTTTGCTGATGAATCACCTAAGCTTCCTCCTTCTCCCGGAGGGCATATTGGTCAATTATCCCCTAATAATTCAATCGACTCAAATTCAAATACTTTTAGTTTGGAGTTTGGAAATGGTGAGTTTACAGGGGCTGAGCTCAAGAAAATCATGGCTAATGAAAAACTTGCAGAGATTGCTTTATCTGATCCCAAACGAGCCAAAAGGTATGTAGCTTTTTTCAAATTCTGCAATGTGGTTGCATAGTTTTTTCAAATTCTGTTAATTTCTAAAAAAGAGTGGAAACCTTGTTGCATAAATTGGTAAAAGGACATGAAACATTGTTGCATAAACTGAGAAAAATGTTGAAAGGGATTAACCCTATAGACTATTCGCACTACAGTTTTGTTATACTTTTTTCCATTAATATTTACATTATAATTAGAGAAATCTGAATATTTATTTTGATATTTGAATAAACAAATATGTTTTTGTGACATGTTTTAGGATTTTGGCAAATCGACAATCTGCTGCAAGATCAAAAGAGAGGAAAATGCGTTACATTACAGAATTGGAGCACAAGGTTCAAACTTTACAGACTGAAGCAACCACATTGTCTGCACAGCTTACCTTATTACAGGTGGGCATTTTTTAAAATTCTTGAATTCAAAAAACAACAACAATGTACTTTCATTGATTTGTTTATTGTATCATTCTACTTTCATTTTTTACTATTACATCATAGCATTTCATCCAAATACAAATCAATTTTCATTGCTGTAATTGGGTAGGTTTTTCAAAGTAAGAAAATGATTGAAAATAGTTTTTTATTTTTTATGTTTTCGTTTTTATTCATTAATTTTGTTGCAATACAGAGAGATTCAGCAGGACTTACAAGTCAAAATAACGAGCTAAAGTTTCGTCTGCAAGCTATGGAACAACAAGCCCAACTTCGAGATGGTATATATATTATTAGTATATAAAATGCCTTCTTTCTTTTTTTATATACATTTATAAAAAGGTGGGACTAGGAAGTTGCTTTCGATCTTTCGTGTGTGCAAAAGACGTAAATGCCCTTCTCATTCTCATCGTTAAAAAATAACCCTATAAAAAAGCCTATCCCAGTCCTGTCCTGTGTAACAACAACCGCAACACTGCGGTTGTTGCGTCACACATGACAGAACAGGACTGGATAGGTTTTTCTGTGGTTATATTTTAATGATGAAGATGAAAAGGGCATTTATGTCTTTTGCACAAACGAGAGATCGAAAGCGACTCCCAGTCCCACTTTTTTGGTTGGGAAAAAAGTTGCAACTTTTGTCCTATTGATGTCAGTCTGGTCTAGCGCTAACTTTTTTACAATTTTGCCCTTATGGTTTTAAATTTTGTGATGATGTCAGCATTAAACGAGGCTTTGACGGCGGAAGTCCAACGTTTAAAAATCACAACCGCGGAATTAAACGGAGACACTGCAAAGTTTTCTCAACTTTCAATCAGCTCACAAATGTTCCGGTTACACATGCAGCAACAACAGCAGCAACAACAACAGCAACAGACAGAACAGCAAAATGGTGGAGCAGCCGCTAAGCACGAGTCAAACCAATAGGACCCACCCGGTGAAGGGGTGATGGTTTTTGTGTCTTTTCGGGAGTACAGACTGCGGGTTCTTTTAGTAAGTTATTATATAATACAAGACTTAGCGGGTTTGATCTTGGATCGAGCTTTTCTAGCCATTCGTTATTTATATTTATATATATCATATATATTATATACACAGTCGTTGGTGTTTTGAAGTTTTTTATTTGTTCATGATCTTGAAAAAAATGTATGAGATTTGAATTTGTTCTTTATTTTCTTGTTTATGATGATGAGGAGTTGAAGTTTTTAAGCTTTCGTTTCTAGATGTTCCAGTTTTGCTAAATCAATTGATGAGTATTATTTTTGCTACTTTAGATCTAGATAAGTTTTAACTGATAGAAACTTATTTATAAGAATAAAATGTAACCCAACTTTTCAAAAGCATTCTACTTTTACTATGTGAGATTTCTACCAATGTTCAATGAAAATATAGGACTATACCAACTAGTTCGTTATGATTAAACATTTGATAGACTATCGAAAGTTTAAAATTTTTAACAGAAGACCATACTCGAAGACTTTAACACAAAGAAATTGTTTTGTGTTTGGTAAAAATTAATTGGTAGCTCAAAGCTCTTCTATTTTACTTTTTTTATAGAATGGTAATCGGAGATGTTCTTGAACATAAAGAAATTGTTCTGTATTTGGAAAAAGCTATCGAACATAAATAAATTGTTCTGTATTTGGAAAAGGCTAATTGATTGTTCTGTGTTTGGAAAAAGCTAATTAATAGCTGAAAGATGTACTATATTTGGTAAAACTAGTTTGGCACAAATAGATAATACATTTTTGAAAGATATAAGAAGACATAAAACATAAAAACTAGGTAGATGAGATTAGGGATGAAAATTTCACCCGACCCAGTGGGGAACCCGGTTGACCCGCCTCAATCGGGGACGGGTATTCCCCGCCAAAACGGGTACCGGGTACGGGGCCGGGGATCCCCATTATGTTGAAACCGGGGATGGGGCCGGAGCCGGGTATAACAATCCACAACACGCCTCGCTCCCGCTTTGATCATTTATTGAATTTGAATTAAGTCCACTAAAATGAAATGATCTATATTAGACCATCAGAAATAGAGTCAGTATATCAAATTATGTTCCCAATTCTAAGAGTTCGTCAATCGTCACTTCGCTCGAGGATTTGTATACCAAATCGTCTCTTTTTGTTTTGATGTCACTTCGTTCGAGGATTTGTATACCAAATCGTCTCTTTTTGTTTTGATGCTTGTTAAACTTGATGATTGATACAAACAAAATCTGATTATGGCATCTGGTTTTGATCGCTTATTAGACTTGGTTTTTTTTTTTGTAAGTTGAGTTTATTATGTTGATAGATTGTAGATTGGTCGGAGATGGGTCGGGGATGGACTGGGAAAAAGCCTAAAATACAAAGGGAAGGAGATTTGATTCTCCGCATCCGTCGGGGACTGGGATGAGGATGGGGACGAGGTTAGAAACTCGGAGATGGGGACAGAGATGATCAACCCCGCCCCAAACCCATCCCTAGATGAGATAGCTTTTGGTAGATGATATAACTTTTAAGTAGAAGGAATTGTAGGTGGATATTTAATTTCTTTTTGGGTTATTAGTTTTTTGTTTAAAATAAAAGTTTTAAGTTCTATAAACAATTTTTTTTTAATGTTATAAACTAGAAGTTTTTAAAAACTTTAAAAAACTCATTGACCAATGTTGGAAAATATGGCGAATAACTTATTGATTAATGTTCAAATCCTAACACTATTCGGTTCATATGGTTATGGAGATTTGTTTATACTGACTCCAGAGCATTAAACATTGTCTTATGTCCAAGTGGGAGATTAATCAAACCTCAACCCAAACCATCATTAGGTAAGTTCTATTTCCAAAAATAAAAATAAAGTTGTAGTTTATGATATCTGTCGGTAGAGTTGCAAACGAGCCAATACACATTACACAATGCTCGAGTTTTGAATTCGGTAGCTTAATTAACTTGAAAATGTCCATAAACACTGTATTTGATAAGAATCCGAGAACTTATAAAAATCCAAATTCAAACTCCAATGATTGTTGTCGGAAAGGGAATCCTGGCTTTTGGGATAATTGTTTTTGGTGGGTAAACTATGTTATGTTCGTGTTCGTAAATGAATAGATGATATCAAATGATTGATGATCAAGTTATATATATAATGATTGCTACCTAAAACCCACGTGAAGGAATAGTGTGTCCACGTGTGTTGATTGGATAACTGTTTGACTTTAGGTAGGATGATTGTTTGACTTTGTTGTTTTGTTGATAGAATATTATTCGAGGAACTTTTTTGTGTTACGTGTGGTGATCAATTTATTTGGGATCAATGAATCATTATTCGTTTTCCCCATAGGGCATAGGGCATCTATATGAGGTTTGGGTTAAAAGAGACGTAAAGGAACATAATTTGAATATAAATTGTTTTGGTATTTTTTGAAAATATAACATAACAAAATAAATTAACTAATGTATTTGGTAGCATTAGGACATGATGTGATAAAACGTTAAATTCATTAAATTGTTTTTGATATAAAATAATACCAAAAAAACAACGTAATGAATATCACTCAAATTTAGAAAAGTTTCCGTGTAAATGGTTTAAAAATCCATGAACTCAAATAAAGTATTATACCAAATAACCATTGTTCCAAATCAACAAAGTATTTAACCAATTCTTTTCTAATCCTTTATCTTAAATACAAATTATAACATTGGTGATCGGTTTGGGTTCTGTAAAGAAATGTATATGATCATTTGGTGAGTATTGATTTATGTCAAAATGCAATATTAAATAGGGTATTGAGGGAGAACAAGAATTCAAAGTATGGGATCAGTGATCAAAAAGAAGACAACAAGTTATTTAGGGTGCTATGGTGAATGGGACTTGGGAGGTTGACCCGGCTGTTGTTAAAAATGAGTTTTATTCTTATATTTCACGAAAACCCAGCCCCTTTATGTGAAATCGCCCTACTATGTTGTTTGAATTTTCAAAAAAAACTAAACAATGATCATATGCAAGAGATTGAAACTAAGTTTGCTAGCGAAGAGATAAAAAAAGGTCGTGTGGGTGTTCGATAATGACAATGCCCCCGGCCTGATGGTTTCACATTTGATTTCATTAAAGAGTTGTGGAGTCTTCTTGAAGTTAATGTAGTTGTAGCTGTGAAGCGATTTCAAGTGTCGAGTTCTATCTTGAATGTTGCAACACTTCTTTTATTACTCTAATTCCAAAGTTTAGTGACCCCAAGTTTATTAAAAAGTGTCAAGTCCCATGTCTTATTGGGTGTCGATATAAGATCATTAGGAAGTTGCTTGCTAATAGACGATGCATGTAATTGACGATGTAATTAGCCCAAAACAGTTGACGTTTGTTAGAGGTAGACATATCATGGAAGACCCATTGATGTTTAACGAAATAACGATTTAGTCGAAAAAATTAATTGAAAGCTCTTGATTTTTTATGTTGATTTCGAGAAAGTGGGACTCATTGTGTTGGGATTTTTTAGATGAAGTTATTATAAATATGAGTTTTGATAATGACCACCTTGGATTAATGCTTGTTTGCCATCCTCCATGCCCTCTATATTTGGTTAACGGTTCACCCACAGCTGAGTTCCAAATTATAAGAGACATCAGACAAGGTGATCTCATGTACCTTTTTCTCTTTATAATTGTTATGGAGGGTCTCCACATGGTTATAAAAATTTTGATCGACTCCTCTCCATGGGGTAAATACTAGAACAGGCAATTTGTGTATTTAATATATTGTTTATGCATATGATGTCATTTTTCGGGGAGAGTGGTCAGAGGATAATATTTCTCGGAATATTATGAGGTTTCTTTGATGTTTTCTTTTTTGCATCTAAATTGAAAATTAATTTACTTAAAAGTAAGTTAATTAGGGTTAGAGTGTTGTCTTTAAACTTCTCTTTGTTTTTCTTGGAATCCCGGTCGGAGCTAATATGACTCGAGTTAATGGATGAAAAGTGATCGTTGATAAATTCAAAGCTAGCTTTCAAACTGGAAAATTAAAACTGTATCTTGTGGGGGATATTGAATTTGATGAAATTTGTTTTTGGAAGTATTGTCATTTATTACGTGAGTATTTTTAAAGTGCAAATCGTTGTCATTAACCACCTCGAATGTATTAGGAACAGATTCTTGATTCTTGTGGGGATGATATGGGTGAAAAGAATCTAACTATGATAAAATGGAAGAAAGTTATGGCTAGAAGGTAAGATGGTGGGTTAGGAGTTGGAAGTTTATACACTTTTAATAGAGCCTTGTTGCACAAATGAAAGTGACGGTTCCTAAGTACTACTAAGGCCCTATGGGTGGATGTTATTAAAGTGATTTTTTGTGATATGGGTGTTTGGATTTTATTATTCTTGGAGGCCATGTGTTGGGTCAATATGGTTAGGTCGAACAAAAGTCTCTAAAATAAAGGGGTTGATTTAGATGAATTTTTATCCAGAACAGTGAGAAATTCTTGTAATACTTGATTTTGGGATGACACATGGCTTGGTGACATGACATCAAAACAAAAGAATCCTAAATTTTATAACCTTGAATATAATAAACAAGCTTGGGTGTCTGAGCGGGTTCTTTGGTTATCCCTATTTCATTGCTTGTGTCGTCCATATACAGATAGTGTGGAGACTATCTAGTGGAATGAGTTAAATAACCTCATGCAAATGGTTATTTTATCCACGAAAGTAGATAGGTGGTAATGGGAGTTGGATGGTAATTGTAACACCAGTACCTTTAAAACCATTTAATTTCCATAATCTTTACATTTATCAAGACTTATAGTTACGATCAAACTATGATTTTACAAAAAAAAAAAATTAAAGTTTATCAGACATACCATCTCTTTCCTTTTTTTCTATGGTTGTGTATATCTTTTGTAACACCACGGTTTATAACCGTGGTGTTACAAAAGATATACACAACCATAGAAAAAAAGGAAAGAGATGGTATGTAACATCCTCACTTTTCGTTACATATTTCGCGGATAGACCCTTATTTACATTGTCATTTAAATGTAAATTGTATCGTAAATAAAGAATAAATGAGAAGTTTTCTTATGTGCTATGTGTTTACGAAGTGTTCTTTGTATATAACACGGTATTTA